GGCTAGTGTCAGGATGCCTACTGCGAGCAGCCTTCCCCAGCCCACGCCCCCAGCCCTGGCCTCCTCGGCTCACATTCAGGAAGCGCTGGTTGATCTCATAGATGATCTGGAGGTGGCGGGGCAGCAGCGTCTCAATAAGATGCACGGGCCAGCGCTCCAGGGCCTCGGGCAGCACAGTGTGGTTGGTGTAGGCGCAGGTCCTGACCGTCACGTCCCAGGCCTGATGGGCAGGATGGGGAGTCAGGAACCCCGGGGCCTAACCACCAGGGCTCTCTATACACACAGAATGCAGCCAGGAGCCTGGGCCCTGCCACTGAGGAGCAGGTTCGAGGACACTCGCCCTCCGGGCCTCACACTGCTCTCTGTTCCGCTGGGGGGTGCACTCACATATTTCCGCTTCCCCCACCGGGAAGGGAACCCTGAGACAGAAAGAGGGTCAGGCAGGGGGTGGAGGGGTCCTGAAGCTCACCTTGTCCCAGTCCAGCTGCTCCAGGTCCACCAGGATCCTCATCAGCTCAGGGATGGCCAAGGAGGGGTGGGTATCATTTAGCTGGATGGCCACCTGTGGAGAGGGGGGCTGGGAGTCAGTCTGGGATCCAAACCACGGCTGTGATCACTGTCCTTTGCCCCTTCAGAGCCCCCTCCAAGGGTCCACATGGCCCCAGGGCAGAGCTGGGGGTAGAAGTCCTCAGAGGGGCAGCTGTGGGCAGGAGGAGGGGGGCAGTCCCCAGGTGATGTGCCCATCGATTGAGGATCCTGAGCAGGGCACCCTCAGCCTCTACTTCGTCCTCTATAAAATGAGTGGGGCAGGCGGAGGCTGGAGGGGAGAGGTGGCGGCACACGTCATGGGAGGTGTGGAGAGGGGCCCTCCCTGGGCCCTGGTACCTTATCCGGAAAGGCATCGAAACTCGTGCGCACAGGGTCGCAGCTACCAAACTTGGAGGACTTGAAGCGGCGGATGATGTCCTGGAGGGTGGCGGCCACTACAAAGTACTCCTGCTTCAGACGCAGCTCCTTCCCCTCAAAGAACTGGGAACAGTCCAAGGCAAGGCTAAGCAAGTCAAGGTTGGCGGGGGGTGGGGGTGGGGAGTGGGGAGGTGGCCTAACGCTGCTGCGGGTGGGGCCAGGAGACTCCTGCCCACACTGAGGCCCTTGAGCCCTGAACAACCCCCACCTCCAGGGCCCAGGGGTCTTTCGCCCACCAAGAAGCAGTGGCGGGGGATGGTGCTAGGAGGGGGGCACACAAGGACCAGGAGTATTGTCAGCATCACCAGGGAACAACAGCTCCCAAGTGGCCTGCCCTAACTTGCTGTCCCCAGGACTTAGGTGTCCTTTTAAAGAACTCAGGGGGAAAACAAGGACACACAGGAGCAAACAATATGTCCCTGGGTGCAGGGCACATGGCTGGCTCAGTCAGAAAAGCACGTTGACTCGTAATCTCCAGGTCGTGAGTTCAAGCCCCACACCGGGTGTAGAGATTACCAAAAAATAAACTTACAAAACAAAAACTATGTCCTGGGTGTGACTAGGGCACCCAGGGAAGTGCCTCCTGGTCTTTGCCCTCTCCCAGGCCCTCAGGCTTCCTGTCCCCAGCCCAGGAGGTGACATACGTTGTCATTGGGGTACAGGACACGTGAGATGTTCTCAGCAAGGTTTCGATCCAGCACAGCTTGGATGTAGCCACCAATGTTGACTGAGGGGTGAAAGTGGGGACAGCGTCAGGCTGGGGCTGAGTGCAGGCAGGGGTGGGCGGGGCTGCTGGTGGCCAGGGCTGGACTCACAGTCCTTGAGGTTGAAGTCACTGGGGGCCTTGGCCGACCACAGGCGCATGGTGTTGACGATGTTGTTGCGATAGCCAGGTACTGGAGTGTCGTAGGGCATGGCCAGCACCACCTGCAGGGGCGTCGGGCTTGGTGTCAGGAGCTAGGTATCTGCCACATGAGTTGTGGGGCCCTGAGAGCTGGAATTCCAGCCTTTGTCCTTGTGCTCCACCAATTCCCAGCCCTGGGTTCCCGCGCCGACTCTGGGTGACCATGAGCAAGCCTCTCAGCCTCTCTGGACCTCGTCCATAAAGAGAGGACCCCCCCCAGGACCTCCCCACAACCCCCACCCCACCTTGCCTGGATGCTTGTGAGGATTACAGGGGGCAGTGATGAGCCCGGAGCCCAGAGCTGGGCTCTGTTGGTGGCCACCCTGCAGGGATGGGGATGAGCTGGCCTGCCTGGTCTGAGCGCAACCTAGAGGACTCTCTGGGCGCATGAGAGGGCTGGGGGGAGCCTGGGGCCCGGCTGAAGTGGACACAGATGTCAAGGCCATCCCAAGGGCTTATGCCTGGTTGACCACAGGGCTAATCAGCAGTATCTAATGCAGGCCCCACCTCCCGCGATGAGCAGATGTCAAAAATCGCCGCCAACAGTTCCTGCTACCACGGACCTGGGGGCACATCCACGCCCGCCAGGGGGCAGCACCCTTTCTCCCCAACACTAAGTCACTGAGCTGCTGACTGGAACAGAGTGGAAGCTGCAGCTCAGAGAGGGAAGGGACTGGCCCAGGAGCATAGAGCTAGGTGGGCAGCCAGAGCCCCTGCTGAATCGTATCACAATAGCAGCTGAACCAATGCCCGAGTCTGGAAGCCAAGAGGTTTCTGTGCAGCCCTCTGGAGGCCCATGACCTGCAGCCACAGCAAGAGAATTGACGGGGCTGGGATTCAGACACCTGGTTTGGCTTTTGGCTCCCTCTAACTTGTTGTGTGACCTTGAACAAGTCAGTTCCTCTCTCAAGGTTTTCACTTTCTCCCTGTGCCCCTTTCTGGCCTGTTGCTTTGCTCCCCATCAAGCTGCCAGTTTCGACGTGCTGGGGAGTCAAGTCACTGTGATTATTCTTGGATGAGTCTTGTTGGGTGGAAAGGAGCCAGGTCAGGGGAAGGGCACTGGTGGAGCAGGGTGGCCTCTCTCCTCCTCCTGGGCTCTGTGCTTGGCCTGGCTCCTCTGTGATCCTGTCTCCAGCCTCTCCTGGCTCCAACCGTGTGACCTCAAGTAAGTCACTTAACCTCTCTGAGCCTCGGTGGCCTCCATTATAAATAGCACTGGGTCCAGTAACCTCCAAGCTCTTGCCCTATATCTCCTTGTTTTCTTCCAGAGCCTCCCCACTTCCCTCCCACTGGGAGCTCCCCCAGCTCCCTCACCTGTGTGTCCACCCACTTGGCCCCCTGGCTGGTGTGCTCCACTCGGCCATAGAAGTTCACTGGCAGCACGAACTCGGGGCGGCCCTTCTCCCAGGGGTTTCCATAGCGAAGCCAGTCATCAGCCTCCTCCATCTGAGCCCAGGGCAGGGCGGGGAGAAAGGAAGGCAGCGTCAGACCCAGGCTCAGACCCAGACGCACACCACAGGGGGCAGGGGGTAGGGCGGGAGCCGGAGCCTTGGTATGCCCTCTCTAGAGTGTAAATTAAGGGCCCTAGGGTGGGCCCCTGGTCTGGTGGGGTATCCAATGGGACATGGCGTGTGAAGAAAAAAAAAAAAAAAAACAATGGGACATGGCGTGTGTATGGGAGTCTGAGAGGTTCCATAGGTGTGGACCACCTGTTCCAAGAGTGACCAGCAGGTTTTGGGGCCAGGGGGAAGGGACAAGGATGCTTTCTGTCAAAGCCGTGGCTGGTTCTGCATCTATCCAGAGGTGGATGACCCAATGGGGGTCCTCTCCATCATGCCTGGGTCCCCACAAGGCCAGGGCCCAAGGCTGCTCACCTGCCAGCCCCCGCAGATCTTCTGGTTAAAAATCCCAAATTCATAGCGGATCCCATAGCCATAGGCAGCCAGGCCCAGTGTTGCCATGGAGTCCAGAAAGCAGGCTAGGGGTTTGCAGGGAGGTGGGTGTCAGGGACCCGGCAGAAAGGAACCCTTCTGCCCACCCCACCCCTGCCACCCTGCCCACTTACCGGCCAGCCGACCCAGGCCCCCGTTGCCCAGCCCCGCATCCTCCTCGATCTCCTCCAGCTCCTCCATGTCCAGGCCCAGCTGGAGGGGGGAGGGTGTGTCAGTGGTCAAGGCCAAGGGCCAGCAGGTGAATCCCCCAATTCCTCAGCTTGCCCCACTCCCGGCCCCGCTCCCAGCCCCCTCCACACCTGGTAGGTAGCCTCATCACAAGCATTCTCCAAGGCCAGGTTCACCATGGTGTTTTGTAGTGTCCGTCCCATGTAGAACTCCAGAGACAGGTAGTAGATCCTCTGGCCGGAGAGACAGGTGCAGGGGAGGGGTCAAGGCTGCCCAGCAGCATTTGGCCAGGCCTCTCACACCTCCTGTCCCACTCCTCAGGCCCGGCACGTGCCAGCCCTGTCTCCATTTATTTTCTCCCCATCTCAGGCTTCCGGACCCATAGGGAAGGTTCCGGTCCAACATTTCCTCTGACTTTGGACACACGGCTTTTCTTCCCTGAGCCTCAGTCTCCTCATCTGGAAAATGGGGCTGCCCTATCTACCTCGGGGCTTGAGGTGCTTAGGAGAGGTGAGAACCCCTGCCATCACACACGAGCCTCCCGACGGCCCACCGGGGAGTCAGGACGCGGAGAAGCCCCCCCAAGTACTCCCCCAGAGGGGAAGGCCAAGGTAGCAGAGAAGCCAGTCATTTGCTCAAAGTCACCGTGACTCATGGCTAGAGTTGGCCACCTCCTGTCCTTGCAGTGCCCAGTTCCCCTTGGTCCTCAAGCCTAAGCCCCAAGAAGAGGACAGAGGATGCTGAGGGTACCTGGCCTCCTGGTTCCCTAGGTTCCCCTCCCTGGCCCACTCGCCTGCCCCTCCCCCTCCCCTGCCCAGGAGTGTCAGGTTGCTGACATTTACCATGACCCCAGCAGACACTTGATCCCGCTACCCCAGCTGTCCGGGCCGCACACCAGCATACCACCCGTAGCGCAAGGACACCATGCTCATATTGAATGACCCGGCCTTCCGCTTCAGGTCCGACCCAGGCTGCAGGGGTCTTCCCGACCACCAGAAGCCCCTCTGCTCTCTGAATGGGCACTTGCCTTTGCAACCAGCCCGCCTGATCTGAGGCCCCCGACCTGCCCGCCCCCTCCCCCGGGTTTCTCTGCCCGGCTTGTCCCTGCCCCAGCTGCACTTCGCGCTCCCGCTCCTCCAACCTCAGCAACCTGGAAGGGCCCTTTATTCTGCCGCAGAAACCCCTGACCCCCCACGAAGGGCCGCCGCTTCGTCAGGATCTCCCGGGTGGGGCCCCAGCCCATTTCCCACCCGGGGCGCCCCAAGCAGCACCTTGGGGTCCTTCTCGTAGTAGTGCTGCTGCGTGCGGATCCAGCGGCCCACGAGGTGGTCGCGCACGGTGTGGGCCAGCGCGAAGTAGTAGTCCCTCGGGGTGGCCACATTGCGGTCCTTCACGAGTGTGAAATGGAGGTGCCGGTTGAAGTTCTTCTTGAGTTCGGCCACATTCTCCACGCCGGCCAGGCCACGCACGCTGATTTGCTTTCTCTTCTCCTGGTCTGACAGGGGCCGGGACATGGCTGCGGGAGGGCGGGCCGGACTGATGGGTGGACAGGCGGCCTCAGCAGCGCCTCCAGCCAGGGAGTGGAGATCCCCCCCTGCCGCCTGGGGTTTAAAGCCTGGATCTGGGCGGCTTGCCCCGCCTCCCCCTGCAATGGGAGGGTCTTGGCCTGGCAGCTCAGGGAGCTATTTAGGGGGCAAAGGGGGAGGGGGAGAGGGGAGAGGGGCAGGGAGAGCAGGCCCAGCCAGGCTCATTCACAGCCCGGGGCTGACCCACTTCCTCCAGGCCTCGCGCACTGGGGTCTTCGGTGCCCACCTCCGAGACAAGATGCCGCAGGCCGAGTGCTGCCTGAGAGGCCTGAGGCTTCACTGGAGCTCAGGGGCTGTGCCTTTGGCGAAGAGGTTGCCCTGATCCGGGCCCTTTCCCTGGGTTGTGGATGAAGGGTGGGGCCAGATTTTGGCCTCGTTCAGGGCTCCTGGAGAAGCCAAGGAGGGCTGTCAGGGGGCAGGTGTCAGGAGGCTCAGCCTTCATCAGAGCAGCTGGGCTTCTGTTTTAGACATTTGCCCAAAGACCACCAACCACCAGCTGGAACACCTCTGGTCAAGCTTCCATGGTGGCCCTCCCCGGGGACAGGGGGGACCTGGGCCCAGGTGGGGAGGTCATATGCTTTGGCAACAGGGGCCAGGACACCCGCATGCAAGCTTAAGGACCAGGAGCCGAGGGTCGGCTGAACAGAAGAGGTGTAGCCAGCAAAGGACACTGGGTGCCTGAGAAAAGGGGGACCAGGACTCTGGGTTCCAGGGGCTGGTATGGAGGAAGGAGGTCGCCTGAGGCAGGGCTACTGCCCACCCCCCAAAGCGGAGCCATCCTGAGTTCCCCCTGTTGCTGTCCTTCAAGGAGCTCTGAAGTGACCTTTTGAGAGGGATGGTGGTCAGATTACAGGCCAGCTTTGGCTAGGGGCTGCCAGCCTAGAGCAGGGGCCTCTGGGAACTGTAGTCCTGGGCCCACAGTGGAGGAATAGACAAGCATCCCCCACCGACTCATAGTACTGGCCAGTGGTATTAGGTCTCCCTGTGCTGCAGCTTCCAGGTGACCGGAGACCTCCTCCCCCTCGTTCCTCCCACCTGGGGCCACATACGGGACCGGAATTCAGTGGGCCAGGGATCACATGTGACCTCACCCGTAAACTGGGAGCATCTGCGCCCAGAACTTGACACCACTCACTCGTCTTCACGGCCGGGCAGCTACGGGACTGTCCCCAGCCCACTGCTCATGCCCTGGCCCCAGCACTGATTTGCTGTGCGACCTTTAGCTGGTTGCTTTACTTTTCTGAGCCGGTGAATTCCTTCATCCAATTTAGTCTCAAATGAGAATATAAATTCCTGCCTCCTCCAGCTGCTGCCTCCTACTCCTGTGGAGGCAACTTTGGATCCTGCTTTGTTCTTTGAGCAAAAGGAGCCCAGGGCTTTGTGCTATTTCAAAGGATGCCTGGGCCTCCCAGGGCAGTGGGCTGGTGGAGAGGGGCTGGGTGTTCTGGTCTGAGGGCCAAGGAAGCAGGTCAGAGGCCTGGACAGCTGCAGGGTGCTACTGAGAGCCTGGTTTGGGGGAAGGCCGAGCTGTCTTCGAGGACATTCTGAGCCACAGCAGACCCAGCCCTGGAGGTACAAGCTTAGCGTGGGGTCTAAACTGCGAGTCTTCCAATTCCCGAGCCCTGCTCTCCCCTGCCCCCAAACAGCATTACGGTGTTCATCTCCCATAGCTGCCATGCTTCAAAGTGAGAAAGAAGATCAGGAAACAGCCAAATGTGCCTCCACAGATGTAGCGGGAATATAGAAATATAGAAATATAGACCGAGGTGGTCTCCAGGTGTCTCTTACATTTCGCGGTATTTTCCAGTTTCTCCTTTTGGTCTTTTTGTATGCTCTAGTTCAATAGGGTGCTTGGTGGCTCCCTGGTCTCTTCTGAGCCCCCATCCGCAAGGCTCCCCGCCAGGGCTGTGCCTCTGCTGGGGTCACCCACCCTCCAAGAACCTGGGCTCCGGACTTGGCTTGCATCTGGGGCTGCTGGGCCTGGACTTGCTCCCACGAGGCTGCTGAGTCCAGCTCAGAAGGCTCCTTGGCGCTTAGTGCTCCCTGGGGAAAGTCATCTGTGCTGTCACCTCACAGCCCTGTTGTGGTGGCGTCCTGGCCACACAGCCCTTCTGCTGACCCCTAGTTGCCTACCAGTTAATTTTCCTGCCACTAAGGACCTGCTCCCAAACCATTCCCAAATTCTCATCCGACTCCCCAGATGAATCCAGTGCTCTTCCAGCCAGCTGGTTCTGATGCCCCTCTTGTGGGCATCAGCGCTGTGCTCGCCCTACTTCGGGGCTCAAGGCACTTGCTCAACTGGGACTTGGCCTGTTTCTACTAGGAAACAGAAATTCCTTTTTTAAAGTAGGCTCCGTGCCCAACGTGGGGCTTGAACTCACAACCCCGAGATCGAGAGTCCCACGCTCTACCGAGCCAGCCAGGCACCCAGAAATTACTTTGATTTCTCCAACTACCTTCCTTGTGCGTCCCTTCCATCTTTGTTGTCTGTGCCCCCCGCTCAAACTGTTTCCAGGCTTTTTCCAGGGGTGACTCCACCCTGAGGCCCCTCCGTTTATTTTGCAAGCCCCAGCCCAGCATGATGAGACCTTGAAGGCTCAAACTGACCCACTTCTTGTGTCCCCATGTCCTCTCCAATCCCTCACTCCCGCGTGCTGCGGGTGCAGATCAATCTGGAACCCTGGAGGCACTTGACTAACTTGAATAACCCAAGGTTGTTTATGTCTGACTAGGTTTCTAACCAGAGATCCTGCCTCCTTCCTCAGACCAATCTTGGGTTTCTCCAGAGCCCTAACGCTGACCTTTCCCAACTGGTATTCCTTTCACCACCCAAGCTGGGGCGGGGGCGGGGGGGGGCGGTGAGGGCAGGGAGCCGGTGCTGCCAGGACAGGCAGGAACAGACCTGGTGGAGCTAAGGTTTTTTCCTCCAGCCGAGGTGGTCTCAAGGCGGGTGGGAAAGCATTTCTCCTCTCTGTCCACCCTGCCACAAAGGCAGGTGCCCCCTGCGCTTCTGAGGGCCAAGCCTTCCTGCTCTCTCTTCCATCTCAGGGCCTGGAGCTCCTTGGAGAAAGGCCTGAGCCCGATGCCTTAGCTAGCCACTTTGTTACAATCCAAAACCTTAACAATAGCTGACGGCAGGGAGCCGGGAGGGAGCTAGCACAGGAACGGAGCTGGCCCCGGGGGAGGGAGCCGGAGGAGATAGCTGGGCTGCGGTTAAGTCATTTATTGATTTTATTTCTAAAACCCACATAGCGCCACTTTGCCTCTTCCAGAGCTTCAAAGAGCTAATTAACCGCCCAATGAGCCCACCAGGGAAACGGAGCTTGTGGGGGAAGCAATGAGGTGAAGCCAAGGTCAAAGAGGGTTGCTAGGCCCCAGGCCCTGCCCCCATTCTGTCAGTTAAGGACAGAGAAAAGATCATTCTTTTAGTGAAGTGAAGTTTCGGTCTTGGTTAGGGAAACCCACTGCACTTGCCTTGCTTCCGAGGCTCTGTTAACCCTACCGGCCTATAGCCAAGTAGTACAGACATCCCAACCCAGACAGGGGCCCACACAAACCCGCTTCTGCTCCAAAGAGCAGTGGTCAGACCCAACTTGAAGGGAGAGGCATCCCCACTGGCAGATGCTGGGGGCGGCAGGGGCGTGCTGTCCCTTAACCTCCCCGAAGGAAGGAAGGAAGGAAAGGCAGCGGGGAGGGGCAGGCACGCAGGCACGGGGCGGCACGGCAACAGCCGGGCAAGGACCTCAGACCTTGTGGAGCCCGGATGTGGATCTTTCGGCTGCCACAACCAGCACGGCCCGCTGCCCCAGACGTGGCAGAAGAAAACCACCTGAGACCCGCCGCGAAGGAGTGCTTCTAAAGCACAAGACAGGGCACTTTTTTGCCCCCTGCCATCCCCAAAGCCTGCAGTGCTGGCAGGCTTCAAGTCACCAGCAGAGAAAGAAAAAGCCACTTGGCGGTTTTAATTTTAGCTGCTCTGTGCCTCACAGGCAGGATTAGTTGGCTTGACCTTTAGTGCCGACGCCTCCCTAGGCCCAGGGCCTTCCATCAGGTGGCAGCTTCCAGGCAGAGATGGCAACCAGAGCTCAGCAAATGTCGGGGTCCAAGCCCCAGGGAAAGGCCTTCAGAACAACAGGGACCAGGGGATTGAGGGGTGATGGGGGTGGGTGGTGGTGGTGAAGAACCCGGTTCTCAGCTGTGAACCAGTAAACAAAGGGGAGATGGTGGGACCACCCACATACTCAGCTTCCACCAGCAAAGCCACACACAGGGACGCAGGCGGGAGGCTCCCTAATGAAGGTCCCAGGGGTTCCCCAGAGAGAACGGGATGGCTGGGGCCAGGTGCTGAATGTGGGCAGGTGAGGTAACTTTGGAGCTGCTGCTAAGTACAGGGGGTTTGATGAGAAAAGAAAAATGAAGAAACAGACCCAGAAAACCACACTGCTCTTTTATTCAATGCAACATCCCCCTTTTAACGCAGTGTTGAATCATACACCGAAAAAAAAGCCCAGAGAAATTTCTGCAGATAAACCAGTGAAGAAAACGCGCATTATACATTATTGTCAACATAATCACTCCATGAAGAGGGAAAGGGAGAAAAAAGTAGAACGAAAAACAAGGAGCTTAAACCCCTAGACACTGCAAAACATTCAGACGTTTGGGATTAAAATAAAATTTGAAAGGAAACCTTCCAGGAAGGAGAGGAACAAATGGAATCTGAGGCAGCTCAGGTGCTCAGGGAGCAAGGAAAGGACTCTCCAGGGTGGCAGACAAGACCAAGGTAGCTTGGGTGGCCCCACCTACCACTGGCAGGGGTGCCAGGATGGGTGTTGGCCCGGAACCTGGAAATTAACCCACTACTCTACTAAGGTGACAAAAACAAAATGTCACACTACAAAAAACAAACAAAAAAACTGGGGTGGTCATGGCAACCTTGAAAATCTTAGAACCAAAAGGAACCCCCCCTTCCAAATAGCCTGACATTAATGGCCAAAGCTTGCACCTAAA